TTCACTTATGCAATTTTTAGGAAAAATTTTTTTTTTAATTTTTTCATGGTTTTAGATAAGTGCAATTATTTAAATTTAAAATTTAAATTATATGTAAACTAGTGCGCAGCATAATAATCATTTTTATTTCTTGCAATTAAAATTTCTTAATTAAATTTTAAATTAAATTTATATTTGCTTTATACAAATAGAATATTTGTATAAAGCAAATACAAACAGAATTTTTGTATTTGTATCTATATATTATGTACGATAAAAAATGCAAATCAAAATTTATAATTAAAAATGCCTCTTAATTGCTTATTTTTAATTTGGGTACTTTGTCTCTAGTAATAACTTTCTCTAAACTGTGTCATATTTGAAAACGTATTCTGCATTACGTTATCTTGAAACTTCTACATTGCCTATAAGTTTCAGCCAATCCGATTAACGAAAAATTTTACTATAAATATTGTTGCAATCCTACTACCCTCCCTCTTTTTCAGCCTATGCTTGCTGGCTGAAGGATGTCTCTTGCATGGCTGCTTTTGATTATTGGCTGCAATATCGAGTGATTTTTGTAATTTTTCAAACGTTCATGGCATCTTCTGCTATGTAATTGATATTTTCTGCGATCTTCTAATCGTCAATCCACTCGAGACTGCAAAATAATGTCATTCCTAGTCAAGCATTCATCTTTCAACAATTTACTACATTCTGCTTACTAAATTTTATCATCGCATATATATAACTTAAAATGAAGAGTAATACACAAGATTTTAATATGTACATCTATAAAAAGGATGCAACACATAGGCATCTATACAACCAAAATATGCAGTTTTTAACCCTTTCACGAGCGGTGGGATGCCACTTTTTATAACTTTTTATCTCCCAGATGAAAGCTGCAAAATTCTATTTAAAATACGTGCTACACCGTTTAGTTCTCTAAATGTATAACAGATGGCAGCACTAGTATTCATTCATGGAAATTATTTAAAATAATAATTCTTTGCAGGTCTAATTTTCAAGCAGTTTTTTTCCTTAATTTCTAATGCAATTTAAATCATGTGAACAACTTTCGGTGTTAGAATGTACATTTTTATGTGAAAGTTTCTTTTTCTAATAAAAATTACTATTTTAATTCATATATATTTACGAAGAATGGTCGAAATTAAAAGGTGGGATGTATGTAGGAAATGCCGCTACTAGATGGATGCACCGTTCTAATACTTTTTAATTCAAGTGTTGTGTTCATTTTATATGTTAATAATGGAAATTTATATTTTTTAAGAAATTACAATAATCTTAAAACTATTTAGTATTTTTTTTCCAAAAGAAATGAAAATATAACTCCGTAACATGATATGCCATTGAATACTAAATGGACGTGAGTGTGATTCACCATGGAAAAAGATCCTAAGCAGAGGAAAGAGAGGTGAAATGTAAATAAACATAAAGCACTGGTGTGAAAATCTTCTCTGTTGCCAATCTATTATGAAATCATTAAAAAATACCTAAAAAGTCAATTCAGAAAGTCACACAATAAAAATCAGCGTTATATTTACAAAATTTTCACAGGACCAGTTTCGATGGTTTTACCGAACCACCATCCTCAGCTGCAAAACCGCAAATGAACAAGATAGGAAATAATGATTAGATAAGATAAGAAAGCCTGGACAAGAATAAGCAAGTGGCGCCATCTGTTGGCGAAACCAGAACTAAAACATAATTTCTCTAAAAGCCGAAGGCAAATTTGGATTGGAATTAGGATCGTTAACTAGAACAGAAAGATTTTTATGAATGTGAAATGCCTCTAGAAAATCCAGTTCTCCAATGGAAGATGTTTTTTGAATAATTTTGGCAGCAGAAAAATTGAAAGTGTGATTTTCGGACCAACAATGTTGAGCAACAGAAGACTTCTGTGTTTCCTTTTTTCTAACATATGCCTCATGTTCTTTGACGCGAAATTTTAAGGCTCTCTTAGTTTGGCCAATGTAAATTAAACCACACTGGCAAGGAATCCTATAAATACCCCAGGAATTCATATCCGGAATGGGGGTCCTTGAGTATAGAAACTCGGAATTTTATTGATGGGGGAGAAAAAAAACAACCCGAAAGTTAAATTTCTGCAAAATATGTGCAACTTTATAGCTAATTGATGGAAAGAAGGGAATGACAACAGAATTTTTATAATCTCCTAAAACAAGAGTGTGGCTTTTAGTGTGTTGAGATGAGAATTTTTTAACTGCTTGATTAATAATGTTGGGGTGAAAAGCCCCTGTCAATAGCTATTGCTTTTAAATAATTTAGTTCTTCATCAAGGGCTAGTTTGGAGGAGCAAACTTGAAGAGCACGGAAAACATAGGAATAAAATGAAGCTAACTTTTGTTTAGTCGGATGACATGATTTAAAGTGTGGTGGAAGGCAAACCGATGAAGGTTTACGGTAAACTGTAGTACTGAAGTTGGATGTGTTACGTGTGACCAGAATGTCGAGAAAAGAACGGAAGAGAATTGCAAGTCTCAAGTTCAAAAGTGAACTGAATAGCAGGATCAATAGAATTCATTGTTGAAAGAACTTTATTTAAATCATCTTTATTACCTTCAAACAGGGTAAAAGTATCGTCTACGTAGCGGAACCATGCCGGGAAGTTTAAAGTTTCAAACAATTTTGATTCATAATAATGCATGTAGATATCAGCCAGGATGGGACTGAGGGGGCTTCCCATGGCTAATCCCTCAGTTTGCTTGTAATATTTATTTTGGAAAACAAAATGTGTTTGTTTCAAACAGAGTTGAGTGAGAGAAATTAGCTCATCAATTTCGATGCAAGAGAAATGAAATGAAATTCGCGAAGTCTGGTTTCTAGACATCTTAATGCACCCTCCACTGGGACATTGGTGAATAATGATTTTACATCAAAAGAAACCATGAGTAAATTACTAGGAGAAATGTTTTTAACCTTTTTTACAAACTCTATTGAATTTTTTATGGTGTAAATGTTATTGTCTAATAGAGTGGAAAATCTAGAAACTAAATATTTAGCTAATGGATACGAGGCAGTACCTAAATTTGATACAATAGGGCGGAAAGGAATACCACTTTTATGAATTTTGGGAAGAGCATATAATCTGGCACAATTCGCAACAGTGGGATAAGCGAATGTTTTTAAGTTGCTTGAAATGATTTGCGAAGATTTGATCGCAGTTTTTTTTATTTTGGATAAGTCCGAAGGTGAAGGATCTTTAGGGATCGGATTATATGGTCCTTCGTTTAAGAGTTTAGTGACACCATCGATGTAAGTGTTCTTATCCATGACGACTATCTGGCCACCTTTGTCGGCCTTTGAAATGATAATATCCGGGTTAGAATGAATTTCGCGCATTGTAGCTCTTTCTCTCACAGTTAGATTTGGTTTCAAAGGTTTATTATTGAATTTCACATTATGAGCGATAAGATGCCTAATCATTTCTTTCTGTGAATCTGAAACTTTACTGAACTTGAAAGCTTTTTCGATAGGAGCCAAAATCTTTGGAATCGAGGGTTTACAGGTTTGTGAGAAGTTAAAATTATATTTTAGAATTCTCTCTTGTTCTTCTGAAAGACTAACATTAGAAATATTAACTATTGGCTTGATGTTTACAATGGGAAGATTTTTTGAACTACTTGAACTGGAAGACTGTAAAAGAAGTTTTTCGAATTTAACTGCAAGGGTGTTTTTATGACGGTTAACTGCATTCTCCGTTCTAGACCAAGACTTTTGTTCAAGGGCAGTGAATTTTGGATATGATTTTAGCGAGTTCCAGATGAAGCTTATAGAGTTCATGTTCAATTTTGGACAATTGTTGACGTGTATCCCTTATGACGGACCGAAGTAAGGCAAGCTTGCAATTTAACAGAATTCTTGAAACGCGACTCGAAGGTTTTTGATTAGATTTGATTTGAATAAAATTGGGGATCAATTTTTTACATTTACATTTAAGTAAAAAGTCAAGATGATTCAGGAATTTTTGCCGTTTCAGGCGTAATTTAGTGAAACGATTAACGGATGAAGGCATGATAAACAATGCAGAAAATCAAACTAAATTAACTAAGCAATAAAAAGCACACACAAAACAGCAGAAAAATCCCTCACTGAAATGAATAGAAAAACAAAACGTTTGTAAGCAAAATGCATGAAATCAGACAAGCAAATATCCAAATATACAAAACATAAACATAACTTGAAAATTGCAAAAAAGTACTCACCGAAACTCATACAATCACAAAATGGCGGCCACACCACGTGCAAAAAAGAAAGCAAAAAATAAGCCTGTTTGGGCTTCTATAATTAAGACACAATAACACGCCGAATAAATACTAATTAAGAAGTCAAACAACAAAAATCAGCATTATATTTACAGCGTTATATTTTACAGCAATTAACTGGAAGTTGATCTGTCAGCACTATCCTCATCTTCAGGGCAGAGTTTTTATCTTATTCGGATAATTCTTATAATGCAGTATTTCATTGAGTAATCTTCTTTGAATGTTTAAATAAATCTCGCATTAAAATACACGAATACACATCAAATAGTTTCTGGTTGCAATTTTATTTTCGACTATGCGTAATGCATGCTTTACGCATGCGCGCGTTGAAAGAATGCTTAATAAAGTAAACAATAAATATTAAGTTTTTTTTGTAAATTTTGATACCTTTAGATCATAACTGCTCTTTATTTCATAAATTATGGTTTCAATATTTAATTTTAATTTCCGCAGCATCTTACCAGATTTTAATTGATGATCTATAATCCGGAAAAACCCCTTATCCGGAATTGCCGAAGTCCCGACGAGTCCGGATTAAAGACTTTGTACTGTTTTATAGAATTTAGTAACATCTGCCAATCATATAGAGCAGTATTTAAGCATTAAAAAAATCTGATAAAATGTAGATTATACAAGAAATAAAAACTATAACTATGATATTAACATAAAAACTCTAAAATGTTAACTATTAAATGGACAGCAAGCAGTTACTTGAAATCCTTGTAATCGGTTCAGATTAAGAACATCATTGGCAGTTTTATATATTATGTGCATTATTTGGACGGCTTTTTCTAGTTGTTGAACTTCTTCTTCAATATCAGCCAGCTGAGTATATTTTAGAATGTCCTAGGTAAAGAACATATTTTTATTACATGATAAATGCTCTTTCAAGTAACACACACAAGCACATTCAAGATTTACAATACTTTATTATTTACACACTGAAGTGCCAAACATATTGGTATAAATGAGCTTATGTAGTAATACATAATAGTACAAAATGATGCTATCTAGGTATGTTACTGGCTGTTGTATCACAATGCATGAAAAAAAAAAAAAAAACTCAGATGGGTTAAACATAAATATATAGAAGATGGCAATGATTTTACAAATCATCTTTATTCTTGAAAAATCTCAGATTTCAATGCATAATGAAACATTACAAGTGTCATGATGAGGAAAAAATAGAAGCTGCAGACTATAAGTTAGCAGAATGGGGATGAGCATGAAAAGAGCGAAAATTCCATTACTGATAGTTTTAAATGGTAATGAAGTTACAATATTTTTGTTCTGCCTGTTAAACAAATAATTCCCAAAGTGTGGTAGTGATCCACTGAAAATTATCTTATAGCCTGTATAATAAAATCTGATGAAAATATAGATTATACAAGAAATAAACAGACATATCAGCAATACATTACAAGACAATTTTTGGTGAGTCGTGAAACATTTTGGAAGTATTTTTATTTTATAATTATACATACCTCTTTGTAATTAAGAATTAATTTATAATTATCAGTTAATTGTTAATATTAAAAATTATTCATTGTTACTCAACCATCATATTATTTTCTTTTATTCTTTTTTCTTCAGAGCAATTAAATACATGTGGGTCATGGAAGTTGAAAGACTGAGAAGCACTATCAAACATTAATAATACTGGAATATAATTAAAGAAGTACAAAATTATAAATACCTTCAAAAGTAATTTATATTCTAAAATGCGCTGCACTGGTCTTGTTAACAGATCATGCAGCTGATGCTCAATATCACACTTTCTTCTCAACTCCTAACAAAGAAATTACGCAAATTTTTCAGATATAAATTTTAATCTTATCTGCTCAAAATAACATATGTAAAGGTATTTAAAAATGAGTACAAAACTCAAATTAATTTGATACCTTTCATCAAAGGTATCAAATATGCATTTTAAATCAGGGAAAAAAAAAAAAAAAAAGGATGTGTATACATATCACAAAAATTTCAGATTTAGAATTTTCCTGTTGTACTTAAGGGTAAGTTACATCAGCGCTTTGCTTTAAGGAAGTTGCAAGTATGTTGATACAACATTATTTTCCTAGTACATTAGCATCATATGAGGATAAGAGTAGCTTCATGATATATGCAAGCCCCTTGATTATAGTCACTGATCTAGTATGATAAGAAGTCCTATAATATGTACAAATCCTGTGGCATCATTGCTTCTCATATAAAGTCATCCCATTAAAGATATTTTCATTGGAAATAATGAAGACGTTGGCTTCAATGTTTGAGCAATCAAATGTGGGAACCAGATAAATTAATCAATTCCTAATAATAGGGAATTAAAACTTAAATAGGGTAACTTCACACACACATTTAAGGGTTCAAGCCAAGTTAGAGATATCATGTTTGCTGTTGACATGCCACAGCATGCCACAGGAATATAAAGGCCCCTTTCGAATAATAAAAAAATATATTGGCTCTTATGGAAGTACTGTACTCTTTATTTATTATTCATTCTTAAAATATTTATTAAAAAAAAGTCAAATTTGAAATATAATCATTATTACAAATTAGAAATTGAGAAGTTAAAATAATGATAAAGTCAATATTCACTTCCAAAATAATTTTTGCAGGTAATTCCCCAAAATTCTTCTGCATGCAATTATTCATGCAACAGCAACTCAAAACATTTTGTTATTTATTAACTTCTGCAGCTAGAGCAAAAAATTATGTTTCATTTACCAATGAAAAGTATCTTCCCCCCCCCAAAAAAAAACTTCAGAACATTTGAAGTATATTCATGACACCATGATCCATCATTAATACCTATTAATACTGTCCTTTTTCATTACAATAACAGAAAAGTGTATTCAGAAGAAATAAAACTATATCATGAAGCAATTAATGTAAAGGTTTGACTTCTTGGGATCTGGTCCAGTACAATTATGAAGCAGCGAGCTTTCTAGGAAAACTAGATAAGCTATGAAAGTTAATTTTCTAAAACTGGGTTATAATTATTACTCTAACTTTCACTTTGAGATATGCACCATATACAGAAATTCATCTGCTAGAATAGAGCATGAGAAGAACTAATCTCAGCACTATTGAGAAACTTGGAGGCAACAGAAAAAAGAATGCTGCATGTGGCATTAAAAAGAGGGAACCGGATAAGAACAAGATTTAAATTTTTTGGCTTGAATGTAAAAATAAGTTTTTTAAAAGATTGGATCACATCTAATTCCCTTTCATACAGCTTTACTTAAATTCTAAAAATTTTATTTGTTCTTGCCAGTACATGGAAATTCAGATATAACTCAATCTCCATTTTAATTAAGAAAGATTCCCCATAGGAATTAAGAAATTTCCCATAAGAATTATATAGTGATTATGTCTTTAAGATGTGCGATTAATGTACAAATTTTTTTTATCAGAAATGAATTTTAATCACTGATAACCAGATGGGTATAAAATTCATGCTAAGCACACAATGATACAAAATGAATGCTGAATCAAAATTTCACTTTGAAATTATTTATCAAAATTGCAGCCTGATTTTTCTATTCCCTGTTTTAATACCACACAATATTTACATTCTTCTTACATATAATTATCCATCCCCAGCACCACACAATGATTTGTTAGTGCAATGATATTCTAAGAATTCTAAAAGACAATTTCAACACTCACTTTCTATAACAGCATCTTCTTCCCAAACATAATTTTCTTTACTTTCTCATAGTCTTTCAATACAGTTAAAAAAAAAGGAAAAAAATTGGCCTAAATTAAGGTTTTACATGGCATTAAATGGCTGGAATTAAATTACACATTTGAAATGGAAACTTAACAGGACAAAGTATTTAATTTCAGCCGATAATTTAATTCAGCCAATACTTTATGTTAGTAATTCAACATGTATACATTTTACACGAGACTTAATTTTCATTCTATAAATTTGATTTCATCTAAATATCCAACAATATATTTTCTGCAATTTTATATTTTTAATTTAAAGCACAGAAAATACTATCCTTGGTACAAGACTGTATTCTCTAAATAGCAAACCACAACTTTATGATCAAAAGGATTACCTCAAAATATGAATTTATGAAATGTGCTATAACTTGTTCAGATTTGGGTTTATTCTGGCAATAGACAATGTACATATGAAGTTTTCTCTCAGATCTCCTAAAGAGCAGGCCAATGCTGCGAGGGTTTTCTAAAGTATTTTGTAGCTCAGGAAAAAAAGTACTACAGTAAAAGACAAACAAAAGATTAGACACTTAAGTCTGGAATATATACATACATGCATGCACATATACAGTACAAAGTCCGTAATCCAGACGTCATTATCCGGGATGATCTATAATCTGGATCTCAAAGCCACAAACTTTTTTTTTGTATGCTTTACATGCACGTTTAATGTATAACGTACGGTATAAGCTAGGCTAAAATTATCTTTACCAACTCTAAAACATTTCAGTTAATGTGAAGATGTAGGTTCCTAATCTTCAATGGATCGATTATTATTTTTTGCAGACTGTTAGGATATTTTATAAAAATTAAGCTTGAACTTCGTTATTCAAAAAGAGTTCTGTCTGGGAGCTGCCAAGGATCTACAGCAAAAGAATGTTTCGATGTCATCAAACAAAAAGTGGAACGGATTCCAAAAGATGGATAATAGCAGATCCATCTCAAAATTATGCGGAGAGTAGCATGCAAAGTCAACTGTATATCACATAAGCAAAAAGAAAAAGGAACTTTTGATTTTTTGTGGATTGACACCCCGCTTGCAATGATAACAGAGAAAAAGGTCCTTATGTTTAAGTATGATCAGACAATGTAATGATTGAATGGGTCAGACAGTGTTGCAGCGGGCCTGCATGACGGGTCCATGCTAAGCTCAAGCCAAAAATTTTCAGAGAAATCAACTTAACAAGAGTGCACTATCGCGGTTGGTTAAACCAAATTTAAAATCGCCATGGTAAAGACAATAAAAAATTTCAGTGAAAAAGCTTCACTGATATGAAGCTGCTGAAAATGGGAGAGGAATTCATGAACTCATACTAGTGAACAATTATCTCCAGAAAAATTACACCGTGATGAAATGGCCTTTTCGGATATGACCGCGAAATACCTGGCAACCTCTCAGAAGGGCTCCAACTAGGTCAAAGATACAAAGCAAAAGAAAGAATTTGTGTGCGCAAAGCTGAGAACGCACAAGTGAACTTTCGTTAATCGGAAACATGCATGACCTGCGCATTTAAAGGAGTACGATTTTCCTCATTACATAGCGCAGTAAAACAGATGATGACACAAGAGTGATGAATAATGGTTTGGAAAATCATTTATACCATTTGACTTCGGTTGATTACCTGATGAATCAAAACGTTTGATTGTGACACTGTTTGGCGCATTACTTCACTTAAAGGGTTAGTTGAAAGATTTTATTTATCCAATGGTCTTACTCCAAAAGTACGTTATCTTCAGCATATGATGGGACACACTTACAATGTCAGCGGAGTACAGAAAAAACAAAAAAAGTTTCGTATAATTTTTATTGTTGTTTGATCTATTAAGTGCATTTGCTTTTCTGACTGAATGAAAATGCAAATATAAAGTAGCAGTAGCATTTTTAAAATATGTTAAATGGCTTGAACAAGGCAAGACACGTCAAGACACCTTTGAAATTTGTAGAATTAAAAAAGGAGTGTGAGAGGGAGAAAAGGACCACCGAGTCACTTCTTTAGACAAAACACCACAAAGAACCAAAAGAAGACTAAAGGCATCACATCAAACCTAACGAAGAAAGTGCCGACACTTAACAACAGAAGATGCTACTACGCGACCTAAGCCAACACGGTAATTTTTGAGTGCGCATTGTGGAAGGATTCACAAGACACGGTTGGGAGGAGGAGTTTGTCTCCAGACATTTTTTCCAGGCTACGTGCTTAAAAATGATTGGCACTAAAAATTTTCATTTTAATGGTAACTACTTTCATTTAATGGGAGGCACGTATGAAAAGATGTTTGATAGCGCGGGAATTTTTTGAAGAAGGTTTGCGGACATCAGCAAACTAAGGTTGAAATTTTCCAGTGGATGCGGGGATTGTAAACGAAAAGAAGAATAGATGGTAATAAAGGATGGAGACAAGAACAGACAAACAAGATAGAAAGATGGCGGAGATACGCCGGAAAGATAGATTTGGGCGGAGCAATTGTATTTAAGAAATAATACAAAATTAAATGAGAGGAGGAAGTTTTATAACAGAAGTATTAGAGTAAAGTTTAGAGAAGTTTTTTTCATTTGCGACTGCGACGACACAATCTTTTTTGAATGAGGACAAAACGACAACAATCTAAAGCAAACAGTGAGTAAATCAATAATCGGAAGGCGGGAAAAATTGTAGTAGGGTTGCTAAAATTCAGAACAGAGAAGAAAACTTTTTCCCCTCAGAATTCTAGGAAAAAGGAAGGACTTTTTTCGATCGTCAGAGTCTTCAGAAAATTACCAATTCTGATAGTGAAAGAAAGTGCCAAGAAAGGTTATTGAAAATGAACCAATTACGATTGACAGTTAGTCGGTATTATCGAACCACAGCAGAAAGGGTACAGGGTGGACTTTGAACAGTGGGAATGGATGGAATTTTGTAACTTCGAACAAGAAATTCGTCTGTTTATAGAATTAACGAGAAAATACTACGATAAAAAAATGAAGCAACTTATTAAACAACTTACATGAAAGAAATGCTGTAATATAAAGTGAAACAAATAAATATTACGCCTTTTTTTTTGTTGGTAGATTGTGTACATTCAGATCATAATGTTCTTGATTCATAAAATACAGTTTCATATTTTTAATTGTATAATTTCTGTATGCCATCTTACCAGATTTAAATTGATGATTTATAATCCGGAATCGCCGAAGTCCCAACGAGTATGGATTACAGACTTTGTACTGTATATGATAGTAAAAAAGAAAAATGTGATTAATAAATATACATAAAATAAACAACAACACATAATAAAATATCAGCAAGTGCAACTGAGAAGAGAATATAAGCATTTAAATAATGCAATATATCCCCTCAATTACCAATCCCTATGAAACAGATAAAAGTATACACAGAATGCTAAATATTCAGTACATTTTTAGTAAATTGACTTACTCTCTATGCCATTCAAATATTGATTCAATGTTTCCAAAGATCATTTTACCCTTTTCTCCAACTAAATCTTGAGGAACAGGAATTTCTCCTAATTTCATCATTTTTATGTAGCCCTAAAGTTATTTAAAATGTGCTTAGTATTAAACTAAACATATATTTAAAATTAAATGAAAATAATAACATTATATGAGAAAATAATAACCTCAACTATTGATCCTAAATCTTTTACATAATGCTTTTCAGTTTCTATAAACTCCTGAATGACACATCTGGAATAACATGGAAAACACATACATTTTAAAATATATGTTCAAAATGCCACGCAAACAAGACAAATTAATACTCTAATAACACTTTATATCTAAAGCAAGACACTATCAAAATGTTTTGTAATGTAAACAATGTAAATGTTTCATAAACATTACTTTCTATTCTGCAACACTTTCTCTTTTTCTTTACTGCTAATAGTATCTTTTTTATTTCGTTCATCTACATTGCATTCTGTATGATGTTCCTAAAAAGTAGACAGAATTTTAAATTTTTGATAAATAATATCTGACAATACAGAACAGAAATTAAAACATGCAAACATACACACTTACATAGATTTACAACACATGCAGTTTGCAAGACTAAAACTAGGTCCTTATGCATTCCATATTAATCTATTGCAGCATTTATCTAAGAAGAACAGTACTAACATCAGTAGAAAAAGTATAACCTTAGATTCTGTTAACATCAATATTAAGTTTATTCATTTTTGAAACAAAGGTTATCATCCTATAAAATAAGTAACAAAACAAAATATGCTTTTTAAGCATTCATCCTTAATTACATAAGCTAATAATTTTAATACATGCACCATGCAAACAAACACTGATAAGTATATCAATCACACACCATACGCTCCTTTACTATTTGTTCTATTTCAGATGCCAAGTCGGTTGAGCTACTGCCATCAGCTGAAGGCAAGGTTATGGGCTAAATAAAAATGTTAAATATAATAAGCAAAATTACATATCTTATTAGTTCACAAATCTCTATCATCCTTGCTAAAATTAATATGAATTAATGCACTACTTCGCAATAGATAACACATTCTAAAAAAGAAACGAAAAGCAATTTGTTATTTATTAAAACAAACATGCACATGATTTCCTTAATTATAGTTAGATTAATTATGCTTTTGTTAGTGGTTGGGGAAGATTAATGGGAGAGACTTGGACGTGTTGCACAGGGGTGCTCCCTTTCAAAATTGGGGCAAAACTGGTATGATCACCTGTACAGTGCTAAAGACTGATGCCAATAACGTGCAGTCTTAAACTCCATGCCACAACAGATTAATTATGGTAAAGATTTCCAGAGCTTTAGGCCTCAGGAAAAAATGCACATAGTATTTTTTTAAAGGAAACTGTTTAATGTTTGTATTACATGTGATAAAACTTACTAAACACTTACACATCACCAGAGTCTAATATGAATTAAACTTTAAACAGACTCTAGCCGTTTACACATTGATCGGTTACACATTAATTTTAAATTAATATGAATAAATGCACTACTTCCCAATAGATAACACAATTTTAGTGCGTTGTTATGAAATTGTACCTCAACCCAACGAATAATGTTTTTCAGAAAATCATGGATTTGGTTTGGTTTATTTGATTATGACAAAGCACACTAGGGCTATCTGCCTAAAGGAAGGGATGCCTTTGTGGAGGACTTTCTAAGGGAAATGCGATATCATGTTAACAAGGGGAAAACATGAACCCCATGCACCAGCCAGTTCGCGGATTAACATCAGCTGAAATACCAGGTTCGCGGACTTTACCGCTCGGCCGCTGGTGGGCCAAATCATGGATGTGAATGACAAGACATGTCCCATTCTCTTTGACTATGCCATTCACTCTCCTTGTGCCATTTTTTTCCATGACATCTTTCCTATTTCATGTCTTGCCATAATCATTACAGCTACTGTTCCACTTGTCATGTGTGAGATTGTTTACAGTCATTTGCATTTTATTCAATAGGGTCTATACTTATGGAACATTTTAGAAATAATGAATTTCAGAAACACATGTCGAAATAGCTGTAGCACATCAGATTAATACATTTAATGATATAAAAATCAAAAACCACATTTCATGCGATAGAAATCAAAAACTTCTTGCACCCTCATACAAAATCCTCAGCTGTAATAAAATCATATTGAAAAATAAGCTGTCAGTGATGTAACAAAAGAAATCAAAATAAAATTTATTTTTGAAGTTGTTCAAGGAAATATAATAATATGTATACATGATCATTATTATGCATAGTAAAATTACAAAAGAAATTGAATTTCAGAATCAACAATACATACATATAAATCCAGTTTTATAATTCAGGTAACTCAATGTTTTTTCCATTTATAATCCAATCATTTTTACAATCCATATTTAATATTGCATTAGAAAATTTTTTATTATTAATCAGCTTAAAAATTGTAGCTAATCTTATTTCATTACATAGCATACATTAGGCTTAACAACATTCATTTGCTACTGGAACATCAAATTAATATTTTTTTAAATTTCAAAACTTCGGTTGTTCTGATATTAAGAAATAATTCTTTTTATTTTTATATTTCTTCGATTAAATTTTCATTTGTTATTGTTTTTTCTGTGTTTCTGTTTACACGTTTTGTTTTTAAACTTAGACTGCTTAAACAGAAAATAATTTATACCAAATTTTTAAGATGTTTTACTTATTGATTTTGATACTATAATTTTAGAAAAAAAAAATTACTTCGGTCTGTATGGTTTCATATTTTTAGATGTTAGTATATTTTTTTATGCGTTGGATTACTTGTATTTTACACTTTTTTTGGATTGTTCTGCTCAAAATTAAAATAAATAATTATTTTTTAAGCTTGCTTAAATTTTTTATGCTATAACTTCACTCAACCTTTGATGGATTTTCAATTACTGAGCAAGCCCATTCAATTTTGAGATTAATGTATGTAACTATGGGGCCTCCTCTTTCTCCAAATGAACTGAATAAATAATTTCAGCTAACATCTTCATGTTCTAAACCACTGATTGTAAATGTTAGCTCATTTTACAGCTGAGTTAATATGACATCATCAAAGAGTTGTCGTTAAAGCAATTAAATCATTTAATTATAAGATGCATAGCAAGATAGTAATATGTTAATATAAAAATGGTTAGTTTAAATTTAGTTAAGGATATCAAAATCTTTCTGATTTTATCATCAGATATGAACAGTTTACACATTTTTCAGAAGCAAAGAATTACATTAATTTAAATACAAATCTTTTATATTTAACCTACCACTTGAATTTAGCAATATTTAAAAAAGAAATCACTCTAAAAGTATTTTTACAAGTCTTTATAATTATCACAATTATTTGAAATGATAGTATATTAAGAGTCAAAGTCTTATGACTGCAGCAATCATTAGTACGTGATATATTTAAATCGTAGAAAAGATCACAGTATTATCCAATAAAAAAATTAAATTATGTATAATAACAAGTTCCTTATGCATTTTGTATGTTTTATCAATCAGTGTACCTTTATTATTTATATACAACAGAAATATACAATAACTATTTCTGAATATAGAAGGTAAAATAAAAATTAATTACATGTCAAAAAAAAAGGTAAGGTTTTTTTAAAAATATTAACAAGCATTATATAACTTTTGGCAGCAATGAAAATAACAATCCCTATACTGTAATACTAATATAAAATAGTTTTTATAATAATAATTTGCTTAGTTAATATTTGATTTACAAATAAACAATTAACAAGCACATAATTAAAGCATCACATAAATCTTATCAGCTTCAGTGACAGCACACACTAGGAAATTGCTGTTAATTAGATTTCATTAAAGTATTACATAGAACATGTTTAATTTAAAATGGCATAAAAGAAGAAATAAATAAACCTTTTCATTTCCACTGGCCAAATTCTGATGCACAGGTGTGAAGCTGTGTTCTTGTATTTTCATAGGAGGCGGTAGTTCTACGTCTAACACTTCATCTTCTTCTATTGTATCCTTTTTAATTAATTTAACCTGTAAGATTATATATAATGCTTAAAATTTGGGTTATGAATAAAATGAAGAACACATAAAACTGATAGAAAGCTTCTATTAAGCATATTTGTAAGAATACATTATGTAGAAACTAGATTACTTGAACTTAATTTTTTAAAGGTCAAAGTGAATCCTAAAATACTAAATTAATGTTAATTTTTCTTGACAAAGTTGAGTTTTCGATTCATTTTTCCCCTTTTCACACCCTCCAGTTTCAGTTTATCATGGTTACACTGTATCTGTATTTCTTTGGGGAAATAAATCACACTGATTTTAACAATATCAGGTTTGCATACTATTATTCAAAATTTTGAACAGTTATTATTTCTTGGGTTAAAGTTCTATTCTAAACTACCTCTAATTTTAACTTAAAAAGCTTCAAAACAATACTAAGACTGTACTTTAAAAGAAAACATTACACACTTTTCTGTTAGGAATGAAATGTACACATATTAACAAGAATTCATCTAAACTTGAGAGTTCTGACGGATTTTTTCTCATTTTTCATTATTATAAGTCAAACCTAAGAATGTAAAATTGTTATGATAATAAGATAATGATACATTTGCTATGCAATAAACTTCAAGCATCAATGATTTAACATCAGTGCAATTTACCATCATCTCAGCTATAATATTGTATCTGACTCACATACGACATAAAAATGTTCCAAATTTATTATGGATTGCAATTCCATACTAACTTCTCTTTAAATGAATTCCACATAGATATATAGTACATGTATCATTATTTACCAATTTTAACTTTTTCAGCTTAAGAATTACCAAAATTTATAAAATATATAACCAATTTTAAACAAAAAGCACATAAATATTTAAATTAAATTATATTCAATTTATGTGAAAGATGCTTAATGACTATTTATATGAATTCAGTGTGCTTTTTATAAGTATTGATATTTTCAATGGATAAATCTTATTTTAAGTTTACAAAAATCTAGGATTTTAAATGATTGATATTTTCCTAAAATATTTTCAGTTTGAAAAATATTGATTAAGAACATTAATTTGATTATTCGCAAAATTTAAAATCCTTCTTAATGATGTAATTTTGTAACAAATAATTAAATGTCATATATAAACATAAGAATTAAAACATTAAATATGTTTTACGACTTTTATTGTAAAATTCTAATGACTGATTTTTCTCTAATGAATTATATACAAAGTGATCAGAGAAATAAAAACGTTATACATGGTATAAAATAATTGCAAAATTTTGTTCTAGCAACATGGCCTGCATGTATGTTATGTTTGAATGACTGCAATATAGTCCTGAGAACTTAAATAACTTTAAATTAGATATATAATCTTAGATGATAACAAAAAGAATGGATAAGATTTTATTAGCCAAGAACATGACAAATGCAAAATGAAAATAATGACAATAGAGATTATTAGATTAATTGTGCTTCTATTTCAGTGTAGTACAGATAAGATGAGGAACTGCTAACACACAAAGAGTAGTTATGTTATTTTCTGTTCCAAGTTTCCATACAATAAAACATGCTGTGTTGCCATCAAGAAGGAAATCCAAAGTGACACATTATCGGGCTATGGTACTGCTTCTGGATTTCTTGTATTTAATATTCGCAAACTTCTCAGAAGATGGACATATCAATAACAATGATCACATTATGCCATAATAAAAATATTAAAGATGCCACTCTATAAAAATGACCAGGTTTGCTGAGCTTCAGTGCCAACACCAAGTAGCAGTTACTATATGAATGACAGAAGGAGATGAAAGATACGGCTTTAGATTTGTTTTCTTGTGATTTTCAATATTATTTTCCTCTGCCTTTTAAATAGCAGCTACTTGATATTTATTTTGTATGAGACACAGGCATAAAACAGCCAAAACAATGTGGCTAAATAAGCATGGACACAAATTTCAAGACAAACAAGTTAGTCATGCTGTTTGATGAACATCAGAATCATAATAAAATCAGAGACATATGCTTCTTCTTTTTCCTTCTTCTTTCTTTTTCCATTCTTTGTCATCTCATAGAATGTTTCTTAACCAATGAATTTTCACTTCCTTTATTTTAATACATTAGCTTTCTCCCCTCTCCCCCAAATTCCTGGCCATATAAATACTATATTCTAATATAATGTGAACACTTATTTTATTTAATTCAGAAGTCAAACAACAAAAATCAGCGTTAATTTACAAAATTTTCACAGGACTAGTTTCGATGGTTTTACCGAACCATCATCTTCAGCTGCAAAACCGCAAATGAACAAGATAGGAAATAATGTTTAGATAAGATAAGAAAGCCTGGACAAGAATAAGCAAGTGGCGCCATCTGTTGGCGAAACCAGAACTAAAACATAATTTCTCTAAAAGCCGAAGGCAAATTTGGATTGGAATTAGGATCGTTAACTAGAACAGAAAGATTTTTATGAATGTGAAATGCCTCTAGAAAATCCAGTTCTCCAATGGAAGGAAGATGTTTTTTGAATAATTTTGGCAGCAGAAAAATTGAAAGTGTGATTTTCGGACCAACAATGTTGAGCAACAGAAGACTTCTGTGTTTCCTTTTTTCTAACATATGCCTCATGTTCTTTGACGCGAAATTTTAAGGCTCTCTTAGTTTGGCCCAATGTAAATTAAACCACACTGGCAAGGAATCCTATAAATACCCCAGGAATTCATATCCGGAATGGGGTCCTTGAGTATAGAAGTTGGAATTTTATTGATGGGAGAATAAACAACCCGAAAGTTAAATTTCTGCAAAATATGTGCAACTTTATAGCTAATTGATGGAAAGAAGGGAATGACAACAGAATTTTTATAATCTCCTAAAATAAGAGTGTGGCTTTTAGTGTGTTGAGATGAGAATTTTTTAACTGCTTGATTAATAATGTTGGGTGAAAAGCCCCTGTCAATAGCTATTGCTTTTAAATAATTTAGTTCTTCATCAAGGGCTAGTTTGGAGGAGCAAACTTGAAGTGCACGGAAAACATAGGAATAAAATGAAGCTAACTTTTGTTTAGTCGGATGACATGATTTAAAGTGTGGTGAAGGCAAACCGATGAAGGTTTACGGTAACTGTAGTACTGAGTTGGATGTGTTTACGTGGACCAGAATGTCGAAAACGGAAGAGAATTGCATGTCTCAAGTTCAGAAGTGACCTGCATGGCAGGATTAATGGAATTCATTGTTGAAAGAACGTTATTTATATCATCTTTATTGCCTTTAAACAGGATAAAAGTATCATCTAGGTAGCGGAACCATACCGGGAAGTTTAAAGTTTCAAACAATTTTGATTCATAATAATGCATGTAGATATCAGCTAGGATGGGACTGAGGGGGCTTCCCATGGCTAATCCCTCAGTTGGCTTGTACTATTTATTTTGGAAAACAAAATGTGTTTGTTTCAAACAGAGTTGAGTGAGAGAAATTAGCTCATCAATTCGATGCAAGAGAAATTAAATTCGCGAAGTCTGGTTTCTAGACATCTTAATGCACCCTCCACTGGGACATTGGTGAATAATGATTTTACATCAAAAGAAATATCATAAAAAAATTCCTGTGAAAATTTTGTAAATTAACGCTGATTTTTGTTGTTTGACTTCTGAATTAGTATTTATTCGGCGTGTTATTGTGTCTTACTTATTTATTTATTTTTTTTTTATCTACATTATAGGAGAAATAATTTGTCTTATTTTCAAAAATCCTTTAATTTGATTAATTGAGTACAGATCAGTTAAATACTATATATAAGTAAGACTGGAAAGTCTTTAAAAAAAGGTGGAGTGTCAAATAAAATAAGGTTAACCTGCAGTATTCCTTTTCGGGAGTCACGAAGTGGCTTTTCTGTTACTTCATTTTTAATTACAACCTATGAAAATAAGTAATGTCTTGTTAGCAAACAATTATTGTAGGAAAGTAGTTTTGTAAAAAATGTATTTTATTGTACACATGTGCTACTTACCTTTGGCTGCTGAGAAGCTTTTTTGTTGGATGCTGACTTTGAAGTTTCAGTTGCAGACCTTTCAATTCGACTATGACTTAGTTTACGAACTGGATTAGACAACCATTTTCTAGCAGGGGGAAAAAATTAGATTTAAATATTTAATCACAAAGATAAACTTAATTTAGAAAACATCTTAGAAAATATAAACAAAATTACATTGCACATGAGAATGGGAAAACTACCAAGATGTTTGTTTCTTCCTGTGATATTAAATTCTTAATTAATTCCAAATTCCTAATTAATTTCTAGTTAGTTGCCAACAAAAGAAATCATACAATACTTTAACATCAATTAATATTCTGAAAATCTAGATAGATTTCTGTAAAAGCAAAGGAAAGAGCCAAACCTCTCCCTCCCCTCTAATGCCAGCAACTCAAACTTCCACAATTAAAGGAACAGATAAGCTTCTATTTGGCAAAAAGAGGAGAACAATTTCCTATGAAATGCAGTCTGAAAGTGACCACACACAATGCAGGATTTACGTATAAGCTACACAAGCTATAACTGAGGGCCCACGCTTTCTTGCCCTCACCCCCCAAAAATCTCTAGGTATCCAAAAATCATATTTGGCATCGACATATAATATCTGTACTTCTAAAAGGCCCCATATCTCAAATAGTTTAGGGCCGGGTCTAAATCTGGCCCTGGCCACACAATGGTCAAAAGACCTTGCTAAAGTAACCAACTTTAACAGTGTCTTCACTCAGACAGGGACTTTTTCTGCTTAATTTACTGATGACTTTTAGTTGTACTTAATTTAAGAAAAGAAATAAATAACATTTTTTTTTTTTTTTTTTTTTTTAAATCTGAAAGCTTTCAGATTTTATATTACACCCAGAGGGGTTTTATTTATTCAATATCATGCTCTTCACACTTAAAACATAAAATTCAGTTCAAAAGCAATATCATAAAATAATTTAAAAAGAATACATCTTTAGAATTTTCGATACTCAGTCTCACATGCTGGAGATGAAAATGGTTTCCCCCCCATACAGTGTTGCCATTACTTGCTTTGAAATTGTGATGCTCCACACAGCAGATTTTATGCTAAAACATTTAAAAAAATTCTTGAATAGTCTTGCCATTATTCAAGAAATTTAACATGGATTTTAAAAATGGTACTTTATATTTGCATTTCAGGGTGCGCACTATTCTGATATCCATAGGCTGAATGATGGACATACAGTTTGGAGAAAAGAATAATACAGATACATTACCTTTCACTAAAACTTAATTGAAGTGTGTGCCGAACAGTTGTCCATACATTCAGGGCAGTTTTTGCATCATTAGGCAAAAAAAATGTTGCCAAGCCTCAGGTATGAGATGATTTTCAAAACTATCATTCATTAATGCTAGTGTCATCCATATTGTTTTCTTTGCACAATATATAATGAAGAAAATATTTACTATGCTTAAGGTCATGTATTTTTTTGATTACGAAAAGTTTTCACTTGTGCATTCCTGCAGCATTTGCGCATGATAAATTGTTAGTCTCGCTTTGGAATCTTTGACACTAGTTAGAGCCTTTTCTGTAGAGGTTGCCAAGGTGTTTTGTGGTACCAGTTCACAGCCAGAAAAGACCAGTTTCATCAGGTTTACGCTATTAATGAGTAAAGGAATTCATATCCAAATAGTTCAGTACCTTCAGTATTAGCTGAAGCCTTTTCACCTGAAATTTTTTAATTGCCTTTTACAATGGTGATTTTAAAATTTGGTTAAGCAACTTGTTGAGTATGTGCTTTCATTTTTTAAGTTCATTTTTTCATGAAATGCTTTGACTTCAGCCATTAGCATTGGACTCGTTAATGGCATGCCCTCGCTGCGACCATCGCTTTTAGCATAACGAATAATTTTCCAATTTAATTTGTTAAATATGTCCTGTTTTCATTGTGAGTGGAGTGTCAGAATCCCCCAAAAATTCAATACGTTCCTTTTTTCTGTTTTCTTATGTCATATACAGTTTATTTTTTCATGCCACAATCCTTGAGATTTTGAGATGAATACACCTTTATCCATTTTTTGCAGCAATTCCACTCTGTTTAATGAGCATCGAAACATGCTGTCACTTTGTAGATTCTGTTGCAGCTCTAGAACTATTTCGGCACAATTGAAAGTTCAAACTTTAATTTTCAAAAAAATGCTGTAATAATAATAACCTGCAAAAAATAATGAGCTGGATTAATTCAGAAAGTTAAGGAACAGTGCAATCTGCTATATTAACTCAAATTCCTTGGAATCAGTAAAGTATAATTTTAGCCTATCTAAATAGCGTATGCTATACATCGTATTTGGCTATGTATCATGAGATTGGTGATGAAAAACAAGTTGTTTTGCTAAAGTTTGTCTTGCTTCTATCACGCACTGATACAATTAAGCTTGAATTGTATTAGTTTAGTTATTTATTATACTTACATCTATTTTTTTGCACATGCTTAAGGCTTATCTGAGTCCTGAATAATTACATTTCTATATATACTTAAGTCTTATTTCAGGGCCTGGGCTATATATCTTACTGCCTGATGCAGTCTCTGTGGGTCCTAAATTCTGCTGCCAAGTGCCTCACTAAGTTCTAAATTTGGGTCCCACTGCTTTCCCTAAATTCTAAAAATTTTGTCATCCCTTAATTTTGTTGCTTAGTGCTTCTCTTAATTCCAAAATTCTTGTCTTCCCTAAATTCAGCAATAGGAGCTTTAGCACCGGTTCTGGGTTTTAGGTGAAAACAAATCAGTTATTCTTAATTCAAATAGCACTAAATGTAATCTTTTGGTTTATAAGTATCATGAATAAAACCTACTTTCAGCACATGGAAAGAAATTTTTGTTAAATTTTTCCTCGTCAACATTTCTTAGAGCATTTAGCGTTAATCATTGCCAAGTGTAATATATCAGCATAAAAGGTTACCATGCTCTTTGTTATTCAATTACTAATATGAAAAAAAAAAAAAAAAATTAAGGCATCGCTGCATAAGCTATTACTCAAGTTGTCATATGCTGTGATGGAAGTAAAATATAATAAAAAATGATTTGCCAGTTTCTTGTCAGGAATATAAAATATTAGTAGTGTAAAATCAAGGATGTTTCTACGTAGAATGTTTCGGTTTGAGATGTATGCCAGGTAGATACGCAGCTACGGAACCAAATTATTTATCACACAAATTTATGCTAAAATACTTGTTTCTTCAATAACAAGGTATTTTATTTAATGCCGGAGTAAAATTAAGAATCAGACTCTCCTCATATTTTATTGTAGGAGGGGGGAAAATCAATTGCGCATAAAAAAGGGGGGGAAAGAAAAGGTTGTTGGCTTTGAGGTCCATTTTACATCATTCTGGATACTGGACGTCCGGATCTCACACTTTGTACTGTATATTTTTACAAAATTTCAAAATGAAGAAGAAAAAACAGGTCTGTTATAAGAAATATTTTTCTTCAGACAAACTAAGATTTTTGAATGTCATCACTTTTGCACATCTTTTCAGCCAGGGAATCACACCATTATGGCCATTGACAATACAATGATTGATGCTAGCAGCAACCTTTCAGTCCTTGAATGATCATGGAGGTGGTGGGGCAATATTTTACAACTACCTCCCTTATGATCTAAACCAGTGATTCTCAACATTTTGACTAACGCGTACCATCTAAACAAAAGCTGAAAATCTTTAGTACCACCACCACAAAATACTACTACCACCACCATTCTTGAACAAAGCTCAGATCGCATAAATTTATGAGTGTTAGAGAAAAAACTCAATCAAGATGTTGGTGTGTTTATTTTTAATTTAATAGTTAAAAATACTTTGCTTACTACCTATTTTTCTCTTGTGTACCACCAGTTGAGAATCCTTGATCTAAACAAGAAATAAAGTCACAAGATATTTCTATTCTTCCTTTACTTATTTGCTCCAGTTCATTATATTTTGCAGGTTATTATTATTACAGCTACCTTATCAAAATTAAAGCTTGAATTTTTGATTTTGTCAAAAAGACTTTCTAATTCTGGAGTTATGTCAGCATCTACAAAGCAAAAGCATATTTAGTACTTGCCTTCTATAATGGCTTTGGAGCAATCCAAACTTCAGAAAATAGGAATAGCAACCTTATTTTGTCATAGATTTTTAAATACTATAAGAAGGCAAAATTTTCCAAATAAGGGAATTTGTGAAAAAATGTGGAAAAGTGATAATAAATGAAGATGACATAAGGCAGCAATCAACAAATGGATGGCAAAATCTGTTATATTAAATTATTATAATAAATCCAGAAACTAGCAGTACTAGTGATGAAAGTGAGAAAAAGATTTTGATTGACAATTTAAAAGGGAATTCTCAAAACAGCAATTACAGGACTTTGCAACTACACAAGAAATTATGTCCATCTATAAAGAAAAAATATTAGCAGAAAAATACATTGAAAAAAATATTTAATAAAACAAACCAATAAATACTGAGCTTTTTTTGTAAATTTTTATTCCTTTAAAATTATAAATGATTCCCCCTTTCACATTTTTTTAAAAATTTTATAATTTCTTTATACAATCGTAACATATTTAAGCTGATAATTTAAAATCCAAAATCGCTGAAGTCCTAATGAGTCTGGATATCAGACTCTGTACTGTAACACAAATGCTACTTATATGTTAAACCAACTACCACATAAGCTTTCGGAAATATCTGAAATTTGCACATTACAGATTCAGTGATCAACCTTGCTGATTTTGCAACTAAACATGGGTGCTATTTTAAAAAGGAGATAGATACCCTAGAATCTTTATTCAAGAATATTTGCTGTTATAGATAGCCATACATATAAACACATAAACAAGACTGTAAGCATTAATAAATTTAAATAACTTTATGTTTTCTATCATCTCAACATCATTAAATGAAAGTGAAATATACACACCTGAAAGCACCTCGTCGTTTTGATATTGGTAGAGCAGATATACTTGTCAAAGGAAATGCAGTTGAACTTGTTGGGCTTAAATCAGCATTAGTTATATTTGATTCTAAAAAATAAATTTTAAAATCTGTAGTTAATAGTTAATTAATCTGTAGTAATTTTGAATAAAAAGATCAAAATATAAATGTAAAATAAACCTGTAAAATATGTATTACAAAAAAAGGGGGAAGAAAAGAAAAAAGGAAGAGACAAATTTGAAAACTTCACTCTTAAAAGCATTAAAATAACACCATTCTCCCTGGTACCAGGTGAAAACCTCCTGGCAAAAATATCATGGATGAAAACAATGCAAGAAAAATATCAGATTTCTATAACATCATGGTATAAAACATTGTCACTAAAATAAACAGGTTCAAAAACTTTGCAGTTTTAACATCATCATAGAAAATATTGAGGTAAAAAATAAAGGATGTCTTTTTCAGCTTTAGAAGTTGTAAAGGCATATTTGCATATTGATTTGTAACTACAACAGAATTAAGCTGTGTTTAAGGAATGTGGAATATTTTTACCTCTACATTTTTTAATTAATTTTTGCGAAAACACATGAAGGAAACTTAAGCATTCAAAAACTGAAAATTAGTAGAAAATTAATGCTATATATAGCAGTTAATAGAATTTTAAATTTATTAAAGGTCATTACTTAACTGACCTCTTTTATGAAGTTGTACTGGTAGTTTTTCATGCAAAATGTAGTACGGAAAGGTTGAAAAGTAAAGATAAAAAGCTGCATGAGGTCATCGATATTAAAATTGTTTAATTAAGTATCAAATTGTAATATTATTTTCTTTCCTTACTGTTAATGTGATATTCTTTTAATAAGAATTAAATCTTGTTTTGTTTCAGTTTGTCTTTTTAAAGTGTCATTAATATTTTTATCTACAGTGTGCAGTTAATCATTTGATTGTTGATTTGTTAGTTGTGACAAAACGTATTAGGGGGTAGCAAAATAATATTTCAGTGGGGATTTGGATTTATTGCGCTATCTGCTTAAGGGTAGTGATGCCTCTGTGATGGATTATCTCAAGAACTAGCTCATACATTAACCCCTTCTCGCCGACTGTCACGCATACGTGCCAGCAACGAACACACTTATCTACCGGCCGACACGCAGGCTTGCCAGAGGATTGTTGCGTTTCGTTTTCTACTGACTGTCACGTATTTGTGCCAGTACCTTGGAACGTTTTTCAAACTATAATTTCTGCCACAAGATGGCACTGTATGTCCATATGGTTTCAGATACATGTACATTAGACCTTCTACTCGAAATGAGAGAAGCATGACTCACATACATGTGTTTTTGATTATATAAACAAACGGGAAACTAAATGTTTCCGAATGGCGTGATTTATGACGTCTCTTTAAATCGCACTTTATTCGCACATGGTAGTTGTTTATTGTAAGCAGAAGTTTTATATGCGCTAAAGCGTTGAGTATTTCCGTTTACGTTTCAGTTTTTAGAAAATAATTAGATCTTGTTAGACGTGAATTCTTTCTGTTTTTACCGTTTCAATGTCGAAGCGTCGAAAATGTTTAACAGAGCATGAAATAGCAGAAATGATGCAAAATATTTCAGATATTGATTCTGAAGATTAACTGAAAGACATTTTCCAAAACTTTGTTCAGAAGAGACTGATAAGAAATGAGACGACGATGCTTCGTTTGTTCACATTCCCGGAAAAAATCCTTCAAAACGGCAAATGAGTTATTATGAGTTCAAGGAATGTAACGTAGACTGTGTGTAGATCCCTATTTTAAAATTTTTCATATGAAAGAGAATTTTAAGTAATATATTTAGTTTTCAGATGTATAATGTTAAAAGTCATAAAATGGTGAGTAATTAAAATAAAATGTGTAAAATATGCATTTAAACAAAGAAATAAGGTAATTAAGGTATATATATAAAAATATCTATAAAGCATAAGCCGTTTAAATACTCTATAGAGCATTATTAAACAATGCGTTGATACTTCGGAAATTTCATGGATTTAGGCTTAGTAGCAAAAAAGCCCCCGGCCCTGGAGAGACGCTCGCGGAAGACATTGCCGGCCTCCGCGATAAGCGCGCATTTTCGCTACCCGGCTCAAAGGGGTTAAGCAAACCACAAAAAAACTGAAGAGGGGGGAGAAAAAACTTGTCTACAATGTTATTATCAAATAGTAATTTATGGTTTTTTTTTAAACCACGATATTTTCTATGACAATGTTTGAAACTGAAAATTTTTAATCACTTTTTTTAATTGACGGTGTTTTATACCAAGATGTTTTCTCCTTGCTTCCTTCGTTCCTACATTGTTTCGTATAAAGGACTTTTCTCCTTGCATGCATTCCTCTGTGACATTTTCTAAGTACACCTTCTCTCTTTCTGCATTGCTTCTCAAAAAGATTTAAAAAAAAAAAAACATTTGTAATCTTCAAACACTTTTCAGTTTGCTACTCTTTTAATCATTTACTATATATTTAATTAAAATGAGTCAAATTTTACTAGCTAAGGAGTGTTATGCTATATGACTAAAAAAATATCATGACTCTATATTCAGTCAACATATCCGTGTATAAACCTGTTCCAGAGTTTCCCTGATATAGAATATACACTATAGTAACTGAAACAGCAAATATTTTACATTTACCAATACCTTCATTATCAAAGCTTGTTTTTGAAGAGGAGTGCTTTAATGGTGCTTTTATGCATGATGGTGGTATTAAGCCTTCATGATTTACAGCATTTGAATCATCTTTTGGAACATGGCGGACTAGAAACCACTCATTGCAAGTTTCTAACAATTCCACTTGCTGACCAGCATGAACAGTTAATTCTAACGAACCAGGTACTGCCTTGTGATCTTCAACAACATGAACAATCTCACCTCCCTAAAAAATTATAACTTTTAACAGGGTTATAAAATTTCTATCTTAAAATATGATTCTACAGGTAATGATTAAATAAATCCAAAAACAAAACCATTAAAGAAGCATTTTAAATACAATTTTTGTTTTATTTTTTAACAGTTCACTAACATTGCCACTATAAAGAAAATTTAAGTCTACAATTAATAAAGAAGCTTTACTTATAATATGAAAACTTTAAATCCACAAAATTTAGTATGATTTTTGGATAGATTAACCCTCTGAATGGCATAATCTCATTTATCCATTTGAGAAATATGTTATCACTTGCTACATATTAGCTTGCTATTTAAAATAGTTTATTTAATTTAACAATTTAATATCATCCTAATAAACGGCATGTACTGAAAACAAAGACTAATTTAAGAAATTTTACATATCTGTCTTAAAAATTATGTTTAAATACAGCTCTTCATGAGTACATAAAATAAAGTTCTGCCATTTAGAGCATTAAAATTTGAAAGCATATGGCTAAAGTAAATTCCTTAGATAGTAATATACTATATTTATTGGTTAACTGAGTATGGCAAAGCATATGAAGGCTATCTGCCTAAGGGGAGAAAGCCTTCATACAGGACTGTCAAACTGAAAGTTCATAATCATATTTCACGAGTACTTTTCTAGTTCTTTTACCATTTTCTAAAGGCAAAGTCACCTTTACTTATTTATTTATTATAATTTATTCACATTACTATGTTAAATACAAAAAATTACTTACAGAATACAATTTAATTACTTTTTTCCAAATAAAATTAAATAGTAAAAACTTAATTCTAGTTTACATTTAATTTAATAGCATGAATTAAAGTTATCTATTTTTAAACAAGCTACCTTTTCACTGTCTGTAGTATTGCCAGAACCAAAGGAAGCTAAAGATCCTCTCTCCTGGTTTTCTATGCTACCTTCATCCATAGATGAATCCTCCAAATCCCTGAAAAATAAACATAAATATTTCAGCTTTTGATTCATCTTCATATTTAGCATTATTTAATTATTTTGAACAGATAAATACATAATGTGCTGATATGCCTACATACCTACTAGACCTATTGCTTGTTGATTTGGAAATTTTAGTATGGCACTTGGATAGATTAAGAGTTGAAAGAGCACTGCTAAAGTAAGTTTCTTGAATAACTTCTCGGAGTTTTTTTACCCATGACTGCTTCGTTTCCAGAGATGTTGCCTAAAAAAAGGGGGAGGAATGTTTAGGCATTAATTACTTGTTTCATTACCAGCAAAAAATATCTGAAATAATCATTATTTTACAATGGATATAATTAAGAGAAAACTACACAAAATTAAAAAGATGCCTATCCCAAATTATAATAGCTCAGAAATCTAACATATTCCATTAAATTACACAATTATTTGGACATTTATTTAACAACAACACTGTCAAATTCATTTGAGAACTACTCAATAAACAATGAGACTTATTTATTTTTTCCCTGGAACTGTACTGCAGAAAATGAAATTAGGCATAAGATTTCACAAGCACCATATCTGCATTAGTTGTAGCATGATACTGTAATCATTATGCAAATTACAGAAAACATATTTCTCATTGCATCCACTATCAAAATGGATGCTACCTCCAATGAGAAATATACTGCCATAAACTTCTGTTTTCATCTGGATTAAAAGGTAATATAAACATATGAATTGGTATAGGAAGTACATACAGAAGAAATGCTGCCTTGTTCTGCAACATTTTGTTGATTCAAGGACTTCTCCGACAGCACACAAAGGGAGAAGCAAGGAGTTATGACAGATAAATGCCACATCCCTACAAACAAAATGGTTACCATGCAGTATTATCTGTCAGTTTTGATGCACTTGATAATATACGAAGGAAATGTTTGGAGCAGCCCCCTTCTCCTTGGCACCTTCATCAGAACATAATACAATCTCACACAGCAGTACGGCGGCGTGCCACACATTATGATGTAGTGTCACACATTGTGATGCAGTGTCTCCCAATAATAACAATGAAATTAAAACACTAAATACCATAATTTAATTAAAACACAATAACACGCCGAATAAATACTAATTCAGAAGACAAACAACAAAAATCAGCGTTATATTTACAAAATTTCCACAGGACTAGTTTCGATGGTTTGACCGAACCACCATCTTCAGCTGCAAAACCGCAAATGAATGCTGAATTACCATAATTTAAGTTTAACATTTTCAACCTTAATGGAAATTTCATGAAATAACCTTGGTTCAAAATTAAAATTTTTGTATTTCATCAGAAGGCATTAGTATATTGCCTATATGAAAAAAAAAAAAAAAAAAAAAAGTGACTAGATTTTGGAACAACACAGTTCAAATTGAACAGCAAATGAAAAGAAATCATCATTAAACTATCATAATAATGCTCCTAAACGAAGGGCATTTCATTTGAAGCATTTTTATAACAGAAACAAATCTATATTATGAATACAAGCATTTTCCTTTCATCCTGAGAGTTATGGCTGTTTTCTCGAGCCCATAAAGCCAGCATTTTACACGAGTTCAAAATATCCAAAATGACATGTTAGCCAGCCAATGAAAAACATCACAAGAAGCATTCTTTCAATAGTTCCAGGAACACCGTGCATTAAAATGCATGTTACACTGCAGTATTAGGAAGTTATGATACAGGTTATGATAAGGTAACATTTTTTTATATTTCAAATAAAAAGATTTAGCAGGCCTTTTTCATGATTTGTTTAAAACTAGGTGTACTGCCGATATCTAGTCCCTCTTTTTTATTGAGGAGGACACTAAGGTCTAACCTAAACACTTCCTAGATTCTTTAGCCTTTCTGAATCATGCTAAAGTGGACAAGAAGTGCATCATGAAAAACGGGCTTATAGCATGTATCAGGCAATTCAAAGAAACATTTACAGACGTACTTTGTAACTAGTGATCATTACTTAAAGAAAGCAGTGTAACAAAATGTAGAGTAAAAATCCCTTTAAAATGTCTCATTCTTTATTCAATAGCTATACTATTTTCAGTAATAAAGTACCACTAAAATAATTTTCATTCAAAAGTAGTCTCATTACTTTCAGAATTATTTTATTCTCAGCAAGGGGAGCTCTTCCAGTCCATACAGCAAATTTACATTCATCACCTTCAACATGTTCAGTAATACCAACTTCAGATGTCTGAAAATAAATATTATTAATATTTAATTCATATCAAAATTTACTTTTCCCTTTCAAGATTATTCATTCTTGAAAAACAGTGTCCAAAACATTATTTATTACTTTTTTTATTTTTTAAATACTAAACAATTTATATACTTTAAAATCCATTTATAAATGGCAATTAGAATGAATTAATGACTGTCACCTGAATAAAATACAAAAATAACAATACAGAAAATATGCCCAAATGGAACAGTGCTATATAAAAATAATATTAAAAGTAAAATATATACAATAAAATCTCAACTTTCTAGAAAATTTGAGAAACACAGAGTTCCCGATACATAAAAATTCCAGACAATTGAGTGTATTAAAAATGCAATTCATAATAGAAATGCCAAATGAACAAAATGAAAAATTCTGACTTAAAATTATATGAACAACATCTTATTTGTTATCAGCTTGAATATCAAAAGCCTATATTTAAAAATATGTATGTTTTCTGGGGGGGGGAGGGATACACTTCAGACAATATACTTTCATAAAAGCCAATATATTTTTCCAAAAATCACTAAAGTAAAACAATAAAGCAAACATTGTAAATCCCATTTACCATGAAAGCTGGTAGAGATCCTACTAAATTCGCACCAGTTATTCTGGCAAAGGTTTGAAGGACATGATTACCTTTATTTAATTAAGTAATCAAGACATTAGAATACAGCACCATTTACAGCAGTTTTTCACGTTGTATCACACTATTTTTTATCCATTTTCAAATAAATTTGCTTATTGTGCCTATTAATGCACACTTATCTTGATGTCAGGATCTCGTAATTTTAAAACTATTCCACTACACGTTTTTCTGTTACAGGCAGGTTCCAAATTTTAATTCTTTAATGCAAGGGGGAAATAAAGAACAGTTAACCTCCATCTTTCTTCCAAATTAAATTGACTTTTAAAAAATTGATGGGGTTTAAATGAAACCAAGATGAAGGTCTTGCGATTGTGTCATGATTGTCCATTGTTGGAGGTAAATCGCACCATCTGGTGACAATTTCTATTTGTCAAAAATGGGCAGTGTTAAACATGCTGGTGAGAGTAGTTCTTGCAACAGACAGATTACAACACTCGTTGTAAACTTTGGAATTTTTCATATGTTCCCATACTGTACTGACTCTCTACTTCTCTTTCTAAGAGGAGTGTCTGTTCCAAGGACACATTTCTGGAATATTATGATGGATATACAAGTCCATGTATAGGATGAGGGATAATCAATATCCTTAAAAGAGACACATGTAACTGTGACAGAGAATAACATTTGAAATGTTATTCTCTTTGTTGTCCAATACATACTTTATGATGATTTTACATATATTTTATCTGCTCAATAAAATATTTTAGTTATTTGAGCTTTCCTGTTAGTTAAATGCTAGAATGTCAGGCTTTTATCAATTAACATAGAAAAAATATCAGCTTTAAAAAATGATAATGCAGATTAAATATAAAGGAACCCCCCCCAAAAAAAAATACTGAAATTCCAACATTATACTATTTTAAATATTTTACATTTTAAATTCATAATTAATTAATAGCTTAAAACAGCTTTAAATATTTAAAGTGTTATTAATTAACACACTAAAAGCACAAACAAAACTCTTTTTATAATGAATGCTTACAAAATGAAAACTAATGTTTTATTGAACATAGCTTACTAAAAGTTTAGTTTTGTAGATATATTTAGCCTTCCCATTAGAATCTTTGACTTCTTTACTAAAAAGCAAATATAATTCAAACAAAAATATGTGCCTTTCTCTTCCCTTCCTGATAAGAGACTTTGGTTCAAAAACATGAAATGAATCTTGCAAAATAACTTCTCCCAGTTGGTCTAAAGACACCTATAAATATGCATTACATTAATACAAAAAGAAATCCACACAGACGATGGTATAAATATAAATATAAAATACTTCATAATGATAAAATAAAATCGTTACATATAATTTATATTTTTGAACTGTCACTAAATCAGGCCTAGATGATGCATCAAGCAGCAGCTGCTACAAAATTATAGTATGTTTTCAAGATGAGTGGAAATTATCACTATCCATTAGTGCATCATTATAGTATTATTTCATATATTTCTTGAACACTCAAACTGCAGCATCCAAAAAATAAATAATAAAATAAAAAAAATGGTTAATAATTTAGAAGAGATAAAGCAGCCCTGTTAATCTTTACAACAAAAATTATTAGCTTTCATATCACAAAGTAGGAAATATACAGCTTTTAAACTGACTATATGAGATTTGGGGTAATAGTTGAAAAATAAGAATTTATATTTATGGTCTGACTACAGCCTAATGCCTCCCAAATTCATATTATAATTCCTTACTGTTTTTTTCTCTTAAAAATGAAACAAGTGGGTGGTATGAAACCCTAAAAGAATGCTGTGTCTTAGCCTCACAATGGCATGAGGCCTTGTTTATACCTAATTCCAAGTTACACAAATTAATCATAGAAAATTTTAGGCTGGAAATTTAAAGCAATAATATGTTTCTATCATCTTATTAGCAGTACATTTTACACCCATACAAAGACATTTCCAAGTAGTAACACACACTCCCAAATAAAAGACTAAAATAAAATAGTCTAAAAATTTGGAGAAGAGGGGCAAAGGGAATTATATAACCATCTAAATTAGAAATTTGTGATACATTTCCTCTCTTAAAAATAAACTATTAAGGAGCTAATATTTAAAACACAAGATGTAAAATGACACTAAGGCAAAGAGTAAAGATAATAAAGTAATAATAATTTATATAAAGCTTGAGTTTAGTCCAGTATACATTACCTGAAGAAAAAATTAAATAACCAAATTTTGGGGGGAAAAAAAAAAAAAAAAAAACACCTCTTGAAAAAAATGCAAGTAGACGACACAAATCACAACCGTAGTACATAACAATCAATTTGAGTCGCTAATTTTCTTTCTTTGCATTTATTTGATAATATTTTACGTACTGGCACATACAACATTAAAGATGACCATTTCACAAGCTTAAGAAATTATAACAAATATGTTACAAAAAAAGTATAAAGATTTTATATATTAGGAAAAAAAAAATATCTGAAAGATTACATTTATTATAAATATCTATAACATTATGCACAGTAAATGATCAAAGGGTATAAAGATTTCATACATCACATCCTTCCAACATACTGAGGTGCATTGCATCATTAGCTTTCTTGGGCACACTAAGCATAACATCTAAACCATCCTGCAGGGGGGAAAAATTAACATGTAAATAGTTCAAATGATTGAAACAATCCACAGCTCTTAAAAAATAAAGACGCAGGAATAAAGTATATATTAAATACACAGGCAAAATGTATGAGCATCATCTGCTTACAGAATGATACATTCATACAGGAACATTTAAGTCAAAGTAGTTCATATTTACATCATATATATATTAGGAAATCCTCTAAAATGTTTATTCCACTAAACGGGAAGCTTCAGCAAAACTATGAGCAGACTGGTAGTTACTCTAACTATAATTAATATAGTAAATGATAAATAAATTACAGTATTATTTTGACATACTATTAAATTAAATAAGTTACAATGTTTTTTAAACTACAATAAAGGTAACTCAACAGAATATCATTTATAAACATAAGTTACATTCATTCAACATAAGCTTTCGATAAATTTCACTATCAAAATAATTTTAATGATTATACATAATCTAGTAAAGTGCTTTAATAACTGATTTTAATCTTTAGATTTGCTAAATATTAAATAAAGAGAATAATATTTGCCTAATTATCAAACTTGAACATATGAATTTATGCTCTATATCACAAAATCCAAATACTCAAGAAAAATTATCCAATAATCTCAGAGTACTAAAAAAAGTACCCCTTGTCCATTCAAGCAGGTCTAAAGCATACAGAAAATAAGCACACCATATATGAGAATATTGCCCAGCCACTATGTCAGTTTGGATTACTAATAAGGTAATGCCACTCATCAACACATGAAAATGCCTTAGATACCTACCGCATATCATGAAGTTATAATCACATACCACATATCATGAAGTTACAATCAAATGACCAAATTCAACAAAGATAGCATCACTGTCTTCAGAGAAGCAGGACTGATTTACTGACAGATCAATTATCACAAGGGATTGAATGATGACACAAGTCAAGCGATTTCATTACCAATAGTCCCAACATGCTGTTCTAAGGCAGAGGCAGGTCTAGGATGGCAACTCTCAAAATAATCATAATTTAATACGAACTGCCATAACAGATGGTAAGAAAGTTGGACTTCATTGTTAATGCCTGCAACCTGTTCCTTAACAGTTTAGCACTGACAGCAACGTTTATTCTTGTGTTATGGCTATGAAACTCGGAAATAGGTTAAAGCAAATACCAGGCTCAGAGATGAATCATGATTTTTTGCTCTTCTTTGATGATCTCAGAATTCATCTTTAAAAGAGGTCTATGCAGTGTAGCTCATTTCACATCATTGTGGAGCAGCATATATTGCATTGTACCTTACTTACTCTTACATTTAGGAAAGTCGTTTGCATAAATGATATAGAGAAATGGTCCAAAAATTTATTCTTTGAAAATGAGAAATGTAACCACCTCGTCGCACTGAGAAAGTCTCTCTTTTTCAAGGAAACAATGTAGTATCTATATAATTTCCATGGGCAGACTCTTACTTCACTAGTTTGTAAATGAGTCCTTTATGCCAGTCAAAAGCATTGGCCGTGTCTAGCATAAGGATAAATGTACTGGATTTGTAGTAGAGAACCACCGATGTATTCTGATAACTTGGTGCATGGTGGATAAGCCTTGCCAGAATCCATGTAGCTTGTTTGCAATCTGCTCTACATATGGTCTGAGTCTATTGTAAATAATGCATTTCAAGATCTTTCCCAATGCCAACAGAAAATTTATCAGCTTGTAGCTTGAAAGATCGTCTGGTAGTTTTCTTAGTTTCGGAATTAAAAATATGTTTACTTGCTTCCATGGCCTTCAAATAGGATCTGGTGAGGCATGTTTTGTAGACCCTCGCTAATTTAGTAACTAGGCAGTCTGTTGGTAATTGCATCACTTTCAGGTGCCTTCTTGAAATTAGTGTGCTTTACAATATCCATAACTTCAGGAGGAGAAATAAGATTTATCTATTTAATTGGGAGTGGGATTCGAACCATTCTTAAACCGAATCTTTAATGCTTTTGTCAAAGTCCTCATTTTCAGAGAAAAAATTCAGCATGAATTGCTCACCAGATGTTTTGCATAATTTTCCAATTTTTTCTTAGTCAAAGTATACATTCCATTCAACATTTTGATTGGCCAATGGATGCAGTAGTCACATTTAAGATTTCTTAAAAGTTTCAAAAAGAACCATCCTTGAGATTTAAGTTATTGCTTTTCACACACCACAATTTCTTTCCTATGCTCACTGATAGGTAATTTGATTTGCCTTGTCAGTCTATTTATGTCCATTTTTAAAGCAGGATTCCAAGTTGCTCCATACAGTTTTCTAAGTCTGGTACACTGTGCTATCACTTCTCTAATGTTTACAGGAAGTCTTACATGCAAGTATTCATCTTTAATACAGAATATGGCTTGCTTCTGAAGTCCTGGAACTTAGCAGTAAAAATTTTAACAGCTGCATGACAAAATATGATGTTGCCAAAACCTATTTACATGCCAAACCAAGTATGCGTATAGGACGTGCCAGTTTTGGCTGGTGCACAACGCCAAATTTTATGGATGGTAAACTTGCTCAATTACCTGAGGATTTTTCAAAATCATGCATATGGGAAGAACAGCACACACAAAAGAAAAAAAAAAAAAAAAAAAAAAAAAATTCTCAAATAAGATAAAAAGCTTTATTGACAATATTTCTTGCTTTTTTTAGTTTTACTGACTGATCTTTTATGGAAATCTTAGTACGCTGCCATTTTGAAAATAGATTTCTTTTCGCATTAGTCGCCAACGAGTTTTGTGACATTTTGCTGGAGGTGTGGATAACCAGAAAGTATCATTTTTTCTTGCATGTTTCATTACAAACTTCTGCTCACCAGCGGCCGAGCAGTAAAATCGCTGAACACTGGTAGTTCGGTCCGAGGTTCGAATTCCACAAACGGGCTGGCTGCATGGGTGTTTTCGTGCTTTTCCTCATGTGTAACGTGTAAGCGAGCCAGTTTCTCTTAGAAAGTCCTCCACAAAGGCATCTCCCCCTTAGGCAGATAGCCCTAGTGTGCTTTGCCATAATTAAATACACCAACACCATTACAAACTTCTAACACTACGATCACAAATACTCCACTTTTACTTACTTATACTCTACACAGATACTTTTTATATTTGCAAAATATAGGGTTTATTGTTCATTTGCACAATTCATAGTTAGTTCAGTAAACTAAAGATGCTAAAATACATGATAAAAAGTAATTAGCTCCTTGCACTAATGAAGTCAATTCTTCAAGTTATGTGTTAAAAGACTTCACTCTAAAAATAACTCTTTTCTTTGCTAAACATAAAATACATGAAAATTAACAATACGTGAATATACATTTCCTGGACAGCAACATCAAAGTTTTATGAAATTATTTTTATTTAACTGTTTCAAAATACACTGCATCAAACGATTTCTCTTAAATATACCTTCAAAATTTTAAATGAGTTAAAAATGTATATCTGTTTTGGAAATAAAGAGATTAACTGTACTTGCAAAAGGATATGTGAAAATAATGTTGATATCAAGCCAAAGTAAAATTAGAAGAATGAAAAAATAAGAAATTGATTATAAATAACACTAATTTAAAACTATGAGAATGATGTTATAATATGCTGAAAGCAACTAAAATTATTTACCTTAATTTCACCCTGATCTTCTTCACAACATGATAAAAGATCTTTAAGGAGGAGCTGGTACTTAGTTATCCTTTGCACTGGCTTAATGAGATAGGCAGCTATGGGATGTGGTACATTATGCTTCCGTTGAATATCCTACAAGTGGTTATTCAATAAAACATAAAAATATAAACAAGGATAAGAAAATCAATTAACATGTTTCATGGACATAATCTAAACAGCAAATAAATTGCTTTGATATTCAGGTTTTATTATAGATCTGAAAAGTATACATGCATATTTTACTCTCTCTATATATATGCACATGAGATCTACAGCACTTCCAAGCTCTAAAATAGGAGTGGGTGGCTTGAGACATGATGGCGGATGTGTGGCTGTACAGTTTGTAAAATTTAAAGCAGTGAAATAATGGATATATACAGTGTAGTAATAGTAGTAGCAGTAGAGGATTGTCTGGTGCAAAATATTAAAGGTTATATTGGTGAAAACATGTTTAAAATATCCAACAAAAAACATGCTACAACCACAAGATACAAAGAAGCAGAAATTTAAAACAAGAGCACAGTTATAAAATCAAAGTGAAAGAAATGAGACATTCAGAAATAAACAAATATGTAAAGCTCACAATTTCAAATTCAAAACAGGATTAAAATTTTTTTTAAAAAAAAGAGAGAGAGATACATTAAAATATTAACAAACAATACATAAAAAATCAAATTATGTAATAAAGACCTGTCTCTTTCAGGTACTGAAATAAATTGTCAGTTACCTCCTTCCCAATAATACGATCAATAGGCAAGTCACAATCCCTAAAATACTTTCCTCAAAGTCAGTTAAATTGCAGAGTCTTCAGTCCTTTGGCTTCTAGTGCCATACTCCTTACATAAATTTGAGACAGATATGCCTTTATAATTTTTTTGCGGCAATCCCATTTTTGTTTAACTGATGTTAAAACATTCTTTTACTTACAGATGCTGTTGAAGCTCCAAAATTAGAAACTATTTTCAACAAAATCGAAAATTCAAACTTTACTTTTTATAAGATAGCTGAAACAATTATAACCTTCATAAAATAATAGGCTGAATCAAATTAGAATGCTATGTTAACTGAACTTAAGTTCCTTGCAGTCTTTCTCCCTTACTGCTATGCTCACAAAAGAAAAAAAGAGTATGAGCAATATCCCATTCCAAACAATATATTATATTTTGAGAATTCACTTTTTTTTAGGTCAGGGGGAAAAATGCTACCCCCACAGCAATTCAAAAGCTGAAATTGCTATCAACTTCAATCAACATACTGTGAGCGGCCACAATGTGATTCCCTAGTCAGGAGGTGTTTGAAAGTGACATGCAGGAATCTCAGTTAGTGAGTAGGGGGGATCATATATATTCTTGCTTATTTTTCTCCCTAGCTTTTTAGCATCAGATTCTGAACATTTAAAAAATATTCATACAATTTTCCCCTTCTTCAATGCACTCAGAATGAACTATCATAAATTTTAAAATAGATTTGTCCATACAGCGACTATATTTATCTTAACTAACAAAAGTAAACCATCACAAGCTACCTTTTTCATCTTTCTGCTAGCTAACTGTCACAAAGCAGAAGCAAATACGAACAGACATTCAGTTTATGATTTCGCTTGCATCTTCACCTTCTTTAATTATTTATAGATGATTTGAGGCATAATAATTAACAGAGACAACAATAAAAGTAAGCAAGAATTCAGTTACAGTGAAGTAAGAATAAAGATATCTCATTATTTACTGTAGTGTTATTGCATTGGAATGCAAGTTTAGTGAAACAATATTGTGATATTCCTATACTTTATTCATGACTACTTTTGATTTGTTACAGTGTTACTTCAACTGCCACCTTTGAAAATTAAACTATTCACAAAATTTTCCCCCTTGATTTTCTAACAATATAATTAGTAAAAAAAAGGTGAACAATATAAAAAAATTTCAAAGCTAAGCATTTTACTTCCTGATTCAAGTAGCACACCATTGCATACAGAAATACAAAATCAACAGTGATTTTAACCAACTCCAGAATACACTAATGCCATTAAAGCATATTCTATATACAGCATGATTCAGAGAATTTCCTAAACTTTTATTAATTTTCAAATATTACAAACTGACCTGTTACTAGATAAGCTTATTAATAAAACATATCTCTTTATAAAAAAAAAAAACAATTTTGCATGCAAAAATAGTTACAAAATATTCTAATAAGATATCAAGATTAGAAAAATAAGATTTGTATTTCAGTTTAAAAAAAAGTGCTTGATACATTTAACTATATATCAGAAAAATTTCTGAATTCCCTGTTCAATACACAACAAAAGTTAAGGATAAGATTAAATGATATTCAGGAACTGCTGTGTGACAACAAAAATGCTACAGAATAAATTTACTGCTCTTCAATAAAAAATCCACATAAAACAGTTTCTGATCTTTTAAAAAAAATACTGAAATAAGTTTTCTTTAATGATTTTTGTTCTTAAAATCCACATTATCACTTACTTCAAAATAATTTCCTGCATGATGAACTAATAATGAGTTAGATTCTGGTTTGTTTTTGCAATATTTGACATATATTTCAAACTTCTGAGCCTAAAATAATTACATCAGTATGAATTATTTTCTGTAACATGAATATAACAATGCTACACATTTAAATTATATTTTAAAATTATTAACATCTTACCCAAGTAACAAAACAATGACCGACATCTTCTGGCATAGTTTCATATTTTTCAAGCTCTTTTAAAAAAATCCTAAAAGTAGACATAGATATATAGACAGCAATATAATAATGTAACAAATCATAGTATCTAAGTTATAACAAAAGTTTCTTATAACCATGAGTTGCAAACAACTTTTAGGACATTTTGAGAAATTACCACATAGCACAAAAATATAGTAAATTATTGCTACAACAAATTACAAGGCATAAATAGAAAATACTAGATTAAGAGTATAAGGTAATTTTTAAAGTATTATGTTGCACTTAAACAAAATAAAGTGAAATTAACTTTCAAAATTTACTATATCAGACCTTGAATCAGAATTATCTAACATAGTTCAAGAACAGAAAATTCAAAGAATGAGATTGGAATTCCGGAAGTAATTTATACGTTACAGAATTTAGAAAATGCTCTTTTAACTGTGACTCCAGAAAGTTAAGATATTCAAATATTTAAAATTAATATTTTTAGAAAAACTAAATATGTGTACAATACTTAACATAATTAATAAACTTTTAATTTGCATACTTTACCAATATATGTGTAATGAGATACTGAAAGGAATTATAAACTATCTAGCCACATAATTCCTTCACACTAAAACCTTCTTCATTACTTATGGCTGAAAACATAACAAAAGCAATAAGTTTGTAACACCTGAATTAAACTATATAAAACTGAACTTACTGGTCATGAAAATCAAATATTTCTACCATGTTACCAAATAAGGTGGAACTTTTTTTCTGTAAACCAAGTGGAATACTATCATCAGTTTTCTCCATTTCTGTCATATATGTTTTGATGCACATGTCTAAGTCTTTAACATATGTTCTTTCTGTTTGCAATAATTCAGCCATAATAAACCTAAAAATAATAAATTAACATATTGAAAAAATAATAATTAAGACAACTTTGTTCAATATTTAAAAAGAATAAAACATGAAAAAATATGTTAATCTTTTCAGCTTCAATAGTTTTTCATGTTGCACTTTGTACTAGCATCTTACAATTATCCAACATAAAGCCACACACAACGATAAACAAATGTAAAAATTAAACAAGCCTTTTCTATGTTAGTATTTTAAAACTGTATTTAAAAACATAATAAAATATTAATTACTTACTCTTTCCTCCTAGCAGACTTTCGTTTTTCTTCATTTAGTTCCTTAGCAGCTGCTTCTTTTACTTTATCTTCTAAGGATGGGTCACTATGTCGATCCAAAGATAAATCTCGCACATCCCGCTAAAATGATAATGGATTTCAGTATTTTAAATAGAAAATCAACTAATATAAAAAAGTAATTGATTTTTTTATCTAGAGAATAATACAGTAAATTTTTAAAAAATGCAGTTAACAAATTTTTGATTGACACAAAGTTTAAATCTGAAATTCTTTAGCATATTTTTGTAATTTTTATTAAATTTTACTACATTTTATAATAGCAGTTATTATAGTTCATTTCAGTTGTTATAGTTTAGTTATTATAGCTCATTTCTTAGTTTATATCACAACAGTTATTATAGTTCATTTTTTCAAACAGTTATATAAACAAAACAAGTGGATTAAAAAAAAGGATAAAATTTTATTCATTAACATACAGCTGAAATGTTCTAATAAGCTATACTAAATTATGCCTTATATAATAATTCAAACACATATATGATGACCCCAAATTGTACAAACAAAATGAAAGTCTTAGTTGGGCATATGGAAGAGGGGAATAGGAACACAGTGATGCAAATGTCATCTGGAGGCATCACAGCACATTGTTGAATAAGCCATGAGGTCAGCAGAGCAAGTATGCATTTGAAATACTGAATGTGCTATTGGAAGTCCTTTCATTATAAGAAGCTTTTAGTTATGTGGAATGAGGCATACAGTCAAAAGTCGTTAATTCAGACACCCATAATCCGGACCTCAAAGCGAATTTGCGTGTGCGCAAAATACGTTTACGAATGCGCATTTAATGTATAACGGACGGGATAAGCTAAGCTAAAATTATCTAATTCAGTTAATGTTGCAGATTGTGTTGTTCCTTAATCTTCGAATTGGATCCGGCTTATTATTTTTTGCAGACTGTTAGAGCAATTTTATAAAAGTAAGCTTGAACTTTCGATTATTTCAAATAGAATTTCCGATATATATTTACTAATATGTAAAGGATATACAAAGCGAAAGTATCTTTCGGAGTCCATTAAACAAAAAGTGGAATTGCTGCAAAAAATGGATAAGGCATATCCTTTGTTTATCTAAACTTTCTTTATCTTTAACGCCGCGGAGCGCAATGAATTGGAAGTTGATCTGTCAACACTATCCTTATCTTAAGGGCAGATGTTTTTATTTTATTTGGCTTATAATTGCTTACTAAATGTGGTATTTCCTCTCGATGTACTCCGTCTTTGATATGATTTAAATCAAATGCCTCGTCATTATAATTCGCTTCCGATAGCAAAGTTATTAGAGCATTTCAACAATCTGCACGGTAGCGAAAGAGCGCATAGCATGAACAGCTTGAAGTCAAAGAAGGCTCGGTTTGATACCAGTGGAACTACATAAAATTGTGCGGACCAACAATTCAAAAACCTTTATTAGAAGCGTCATATCAAGTGGCATATTTATGTGCAAAAAAAAAAAAAAAAAAAAACCCTCACACGATCGCTGAAGAGTTGATTAAACCTTCTGCTTTAATTATTGCTAAAACAGTTTTAGATTCGGAAGCACATAAAAAAATCCAACAGATTCCATTATCGAATGATATTATACGATCGCGAATACAAGATCTCAGTGAAGATATTTTAATGCAAGTAATTGAAGACATAAAAATCAGTCCACTAAAAATAAGCATGCAACTGGATGAGTCAACTGATGTTGATAATTGTAGCCAACTTTTGGTATTTGTCAGGTATGTGAAGGAAAAAGAGGTGATAGAAGAATTTCTATTTTGTGAGCCACTGGAGGTGAATACGAGAGGAATTGATGTTTTCAATCGCATCAAAGATTTTTTTACTAAATATCAATTACCAATGAATGTGATTGGCTCAATATGCACTGATGGAGCCCCAGCAATGTTAGGCAAAAATTCAGGATTTTTTTCACACATGAAAAGAGAATTACCGGAAGTTATAATAACGCATTGCATGTTGCATCGTCATGCACTTGCGTCGAAAGCATTGCCAGAAAGTTTAAAACAACATCTAACTACAGCAGTAAATGTAGTAAAATATACCGAGGGCGAGCGCTTAATCATCGCATTTTTGCGAAGAAATCGGTGCTGATCATACCGTGCTCCTATATCACACCGAAATACGATGGTTATCTAAGGGTCGCATGCTTAACAGAGTTTTTGAATTGCGTGAGGAAATTATTCAATTACTGACTAGTCAAAACTGTTATTTAGTAAAAGATTTTGAGAGTAATGATGCAATGCTGAGGCTGGCCTACTTAGCAGACATATTTAGCCATTTAAATGAATTGAATCTATCAATGCAAGGATTTGGTATAAATATAATAATATCTAGTGAAAAATTATCTTCATTTATCGCAAAATTAGAAATTTGGATACGTCGAGTAGAAAAGGGGAATTTTGCAAACTTTCCCTTGCTTGATTCTGTTATTGCGAAAAATGAAAAGAATACAATTATACCCGACATTGTAATACATTTGAGACGATTGAGCGAATCATTCAATGGATACTTTTCTACCGGAAATATTACCAAAACTCAGAGATGGATACTGGATCCATTTCTATTTGACTTAAATTTGATGGATGATAGTGATCTGAAAAAAGATCATCTTATTGAAATGCAAGCAAGTGGACATGTTCAAATGGAATTCGAACAATTAGAATTGCAACAATTCTGGTGTTCACAGTTACAACGTTATCCAGAGTTGGCGAACGGAGCACTGCAGTTACTCTTACCCTTTGCTACCACCTACTTGTGTGAAATGGGATTTTCATCGCTTTTGCATATAAAAACTAAAGCGAGAAATCGCTTAAATGCAAGTGATGACTTACGCGTATGTCTTTCAAAAAAGGAACCTCGCTTCGCCAGTATAATAATGAACAAACAACAACAGACTAGTCATTAATAAAAATAACATTGTTTTGTATTTATATAAGATGCACAATGTTTTTTAAACAATAAGTTTTGCAAAAAATGTATTTTTCTAGACTAAAAAAATTAAAACACATTTTTTTTGGGGGTGCGGAGATATATTTTCAGATTCAATGGGGTGCGACTTGCTAGAAAAGTTAAGAAACACTGCTCTACAGCATATATGAGCACTTAAAAGCTAGTACAGAACAATCTCAGAAAACATCATATTATAATAGGCTGACATGTGGGAAAGGAAGCTCACTGATCATATGAGGAGGCAGCTTCTCACCGTCCAAAGAATGCAACTATTGATAATATGCAAAGGTTACAGAACATCCCCAACTGCAGCACTGCATGTGCTGGCAGGTATTCCTCCACTGAACCTTCTAGTGGAAAGGTTAGGTTATTTAATTACGGCAAAACCTCGGATGCCTTCGTGGAGAACTTTCTAAGGGAAACTGCCTTGTATACACGTTACACATGGGGAAAACCACGAAAACACCCATGCAGCCACCCTGTTCGCGGGATTCGAACCTCGGTTCTAGTGGAAAGAGAATCATCATTAGTAAGGACACTGCACCTGGAAGATAACGTCTTTCTGTGGCAAAAGATACATGTACCATACAGACTACAAGAAGTACATTGGACACCCTGAAGATACGGACTTATCGCACACAGTATACCTGCAATACACCTCGCCAGATGAGAAAGGCCTAGCTATATATACAGATGGCTCAACGACAGAGAATGGCACAGGCTGTGCCTACTGTGTACTCCAAGAGTAAAAACTTGGTAAAGATGACTACAAAGCAAAAATATCGTCTTTTAGGCAGAGCTTCTAGCATTAAAAGCAACCATCAATTTGGAAAAGTAACAATTAACAACAAAGGCCAATATATATAGCAACTCTGCCTCAAGTTTAGAGGCCATCTGAGGGCATAAGACAAGGAGTCCTTTAGTGCAAGATATAAAAAAATTCTCCTAAGGATTTCACCAGATGAGAGACCCAATCTGATCTGGGTTCCAGCTCATGTGGGTATTACAGGCAATGAAGAGACGGACTTGCTTGTCAAATCTGCAGCCAAGACTCCAGTAAACTGGAAACCCCATAAGTGTGCTACAGTCTTATTAAAAAAAAAATTAATAGCCTTGTACAAGAATGGCAAAAAAGATGGGAAAGGGAGAGCCCAGGGAGGAGAGCCTACAAGTTCTTTCCAAAGGTTTCATGCTCAATTAAAACATACAGTGGCACACAAACGCATTTCTACACTGGCCATGGTTCCTTCCCACATTGTCTTAAGAGATTCAGCAAATGCGACTCTGAATTATGTGAATGTGATGTGGTAGGTGATGCAGATCACTACCTCTTCAACTGCCCACACACCGATAAATTGCATTTAAAAACACCAAGCAGTGAATACTGGCAGCAATGGCCAGAGAATACCAGGGTTCATATACATTTCCTTACATGATAATTAAGGACTTTTTAAGGACTTTTAAGGACCATCAAAGAAAAAATTAAGGACCTATCAGCAAACAAAAAAAATGAATAGAATAAAGCAATTATCCATACAACCGACTTCACGCTTGTAATTTCACTTTAAGAAACTAACAGAAGTGTGTATTATGCACTATTATTAAATTCACTTTAATACTTACCATAAAACAATTTTGAAAAGCACTATTATTAAATTCACTTTAATACTTACCATAAAACAATTTTGAAAATTAAACTAACTCCCTACAAGTTATGAAGTAGATAACATTAAATTAGGAACACAATTTCTTGAAAAACATGTATAAGTGTATTTTACACTAATCACAGTCACTATTTTAGAGATTTACATGATTATTATTTAACTTATTTGATATTTATTTAAACACAGTGAACTACTATATTATAATCACAATGTAAGAATATTTTGCAGATTAAAATAACTGATTTGTAAACATACAATTTATTTCCTTGGTTTTTTGAAAGATACTAGAATAATAAACTGTACAATAAAAGATACAAAACATTTGTGCTTTTTTTAAATCTGAAATCTTTCAGCTATTTTAACATCTAATTTATTTATGTCTATTTCCTTTTCTTTAACTATTCTTCTACGTTCATTTGCTTTGATAAACAAATCAATGTTCCTG